TTTGTTCAGAGCTGCTCCTAGTAAACTTGGTCTGGGTGAACCGATTAGACCTAGTCTATAGGGGGTCTCTCATGCAGACTTGACAGGAACCAGCTGAGGCTCTAGGAGAAGTGTTAAACTGATAACTACCCCCAACACCGAGACCCCCCAGCATACACTGTTTACACAGGATGGACTTTCCCTTATCTGCTCTGCATCTGATATGTACTTAAAACACTGGAAACTATTTCTTTAAAATATGCAATTGAGTTCTTTTTCACATTCACTTAAGATAACCTTCAAGGCACTTTAATTATATCATATGCTTTCCTTGTTTTTAGAGCAAAACTTACTGTAGCACACAGTAAATAGTGAAAATATACATTGAGGAGCATTTTTTTAATCACAAATACAGTAAAATTGTGCAATATCTTTTTTTACAATCTAAAATAAAAAATAATCTAAAATATAATTTATTCCTATGATGCAAAGCTGAATTTTCAGTAGTCATTATTTCAGTCTTCACATGATCCTTCAGAAATCAATCTAATAGCTAATAATTTTATATATTTTAATATATGATAATACAGTATATAATTATAATATATACATAGTGTTCATATATACAACATATAAACGATTTTGTGTAAATCTATAAACAACAAAATATTACATATTATAATTCTATAAACGTTTTGTGTCATTATTCCAGTAGAGTTTGTTTTCCCCCAAAAAGACCGAATGGTTGAGCGACTTGTTTAAAAGTCTGATAGAGGGTGATTATGTTTTTATTGGCTGTGCGGTCTCAGAGACCAGCAGAGGGAAGCCTTTCATCCCCTTTATGTTCCCTCTTTTCAAAGATGACAAAAAGTTGTCCTCTGATTCCTAACACACATCTCAGCTTCTCAGTTTAGAGCGTAGTAAACTCTGCGTGGGTATGGAGAGAGTCTCTGAGGACGGATGCGAGCGCTGGTGTGGGCCAGCATGAATCAGACCTCAGCGTTTGTTTTGCTAGGATTGAGTGCTACGACACACCTGCTTCTAGATGCCTATCGATGAATGTACACTCGTTCTGATGACTTGAAGTTTGAGAATGGCTCGTGGTAAAAGTATATTGTTTCATGGGTTTGTGTTTCTTTGACTTCTTCTCTTTTTTGTAAGGGTTGTATGTTCAGTATATTTGTATTAACTGTACTCACGAATGGATGCAAGTAATCTCCCTATGAAGTGTTGGAACAACAACAGTCCATCATCACATTCATTCAAGTTTGTAATAAATGGAAATTAATACCGCAAAATCTATAGAAACAACCTACACAGATGAGAGCTGGAAACCTACTATACCACTAAAAAAAGGAAAAATTCTTAGTATTTTTATCTTGTAATCATATGCAATTATGTACAGCCAGCTGTATGAGAAACCATTCATTTAACGTTATAAATTGATTTCTGGTTCATTTGTTAAAGTACAAACATATTATTTAGTATGTTGAATTAATATTTTTTAATACATTTAAAATGTATCTTTGAATGTATTTTATATTTTAAAAATACATTTATTTTATTTTATATTATAATGTTGTCTTTTTTATTTTTATAATTAATTATTATAATTAATATTATTAATATAATATAATATAATATAATATAATATAATATAATATAATATAAACAATTCAAAGTTTGAAAATGTATTTTTAAAATATATATTCCTTAAAAGACAGTTAATTTTTTTTTTACTTTTTTTTTATGTGATACCATTCTTACAACAACATATATAATTTATTTGGCTAAAGATTAGAATCATTAATAAAACATTTTTACTAAAATGGTAGCTTTAGGTCAGGGGTGTCAAACTCAATTCAACTCAAAAGTTTTGTTCTAACCCCGCTCCAACACACATACCAATCTAGTTTTCAAATAAGCCTGAAGGACCTGATTAGCTGGATCAGGTGTGTTTAATTAGGGTTGGAGCTAAACTCTGCAGGGCTCCGGCCCTCCAGGAATTGAGTTTGACACCCCTGCTTTAGGTAATGCAGTAAACACTATTACAAATGATATTACTATAACAAATACTATTAAAAATGTAGAAAATTGTTTCAAAAATAATGAATGGATTATTCATATTATTGCTTAAATAAAAATGTATAATATGCTTCAAAATAAAACAGGAATGGCGTTGTGCATTACTAAATTGTTGATTCTCATTTGTGCAAATTGTTCATGCATTCCTGTTGATTAAAGCCGTTTTCTCTAATTTCCTCTTGCCTAGAAGGCACAGGTGAAAAGTGGCTCAACTTACCCCACTCCCCCAGACTAATTTTCTGCTCAATACATGCAGTGAGATGTAAATAAACAAGAAATATAAAGTGATTTATTCACTGTCCTGCGTGACACATTCGTCTTCAGTTGTCCGTCAGCTCTCTGTGAGAACAAAGTAAAGGAAAACGTTTTTCTGAAACACGAAACCTGAGGATGTGAAAAGTGCCCTCTGCCCTCTAAAGTGATACAAGTTGCAGAGTTGTCGCTTAGTAATCTTTTCAACATCCTCCTGCTCACTTGCACTTTGAAAAGGCCAAGTGTTGAGATCAACAATGTGAACATTAACACAAGGTTTACAAATATCACCGGGCGCCTTAAAGCAAGAAAAAACAACAACGTTGGAAAAGTCTAAACGCTTAAATTTTAAAGCTGAAAATCTCAATGTTTGATCTCAGATCAAAACGGATCAGTTAAGTACTCTTAGTAGCCATTTAAACAACAAAGAAAATACTTCTGTTGTTTAAAGGGGATGATTGTTTTTCCACCTGAGATATTGTGTGTTATACGTGCCAAACATCACTCCTCTGACTAAATATTATGAATTGTGAGGCATTTGAAGTGCCACAGAAACAAAACAGACTCTCTGTTACTTCAAAAAGCATAGAATTAATGTTAAGTTTGTAGACAATTTTGTTTCACATGCACGTTGTTTGCACCTCGGCCGGCTGCTTGATAACTATCAACACCCTCTAAAGTTTACGGGCTGTTAAGGGAGTTTGGTGCTGCCGAGTCTCTCAGCGTGAGGCTCTGAATGCAGCCTATTAAAAGTGTAACACAGTGTCTCTACTAACTCTCTTTGAAAGGTACTTTAGCAGCCACTGTTTTATGGACACTTACGCTCAACATGCATATGACTTGGTCTGTGCTGATGTTTGTCTTTGCATTGTTGCAGATTGGACGAGAACTTTGTTACTAAATCAGTTAATTCTGTGAGTGGGCTTTCAAATATGACGCGTTAAGACGTGTCATGATAGGTTTCATGATAGTGATACCAAATATCAAACCTTTGCTTGACACGTCTTGATGTGCCATATTTCATGCACACAAATGTGCATGAAATTTAAGAGGTTTAAAAGAGCAAATAATTACTTACAAATAATTAATAAAAAAGAGCAAATTATAATTTTGATCTGTTCTTTACACAAAGTTATCATATGACTTTAGAAAACATAGCATATGCATAATAGTCTTCATTTTAACAATACTTTAATGAAGGTTTTTATTTATTTATTTATTTTTATTTTTTGGTAGCTTGACAGCTGTCGTAAACAAACAAATTACATATATTTAAAATTACCTAATTTAATATATTAAATGTTCTTTTTTTAAATTATATGCTTTTATTTAAAATGTGAATTATTTAAATATTTTCACGAATAATATTTATGTAAATGTTTTTTGCAATGCTTTTTCATGTTCAAAAAACATTTTTCAAGTTGACGTATATTTAGCTATAATTACAGTACCAATCAAAAGTTTGGACACACATACTCATTTTAGTGTAACAGTAAGATCACCCATGAAATATTTTCCCAATTGTCCATGTGTTTTATGTAGTGACCGAAAAATATGTTTTTTTTTTGCATCCAACTTCAAGAAGTACACTATAAAAATGATCATTGGAGTATATTTTACAAGAAAATACTATTTTAGTTTTTTTACTTTAAAATTTCACGTTTAATTCAATATGCTACTTTTCATTTCTTTGTAATGCTTGTGAAATTTACTAGAAATTTCTTAGGGGAAATTGTTTCTACACCATTTTTTTTCCCAGTGTATATCTTATTGAAGGCATTCACCCCCCCCCCCCAA